CAAATGAGTGATTGAATGAAGTTGGATTGAGTATGACATATCAGAGCAACTCAGCAATCTGGGCCTACCCTGAAACGCAGATAGGGCAAATTTTTCTGCAGAGCTTTGAATGAATGGCTCAGGATCGTTGACGTACACAAATAAACGTAACTGAAGAGTAACAGTGCTAACAGTGTTGGAAATATCTGAACTTGATTAACTCATCGATGGATGAATACGATTTTTAATCAATGTTTCACGACCTCAGCCAACGTATAGTGTAAATGATAGTTATCGCCTCGAAATCCGCCTTGAAATCTTATAAGCTTGGTATCTTATGAAGTGATACCGATCTTGGATTGAAGCTTGAGAAAGGATGAATAATCATTTGTAGTTTTCTCTTTATGATAGGCACTTCGCGATGTATCGTATGATTCTTATCTTGCAGTGGTTCGAATGATTTTTTTCATTGGTATATATACATTGGCTGTTGAAAATGTCCGAAAAGAAACGGTAATGAGTGGAGTTCCACCTAATTCATAGCAAAAGTCCACATCGCAGGGTCTTGGATGAATTATAGCCCCATGAAACACCTTAAACATATATGCATTTCCTAAGAAATGTTTGCGAGGTAATTATTGGACTAGTCAAATTATTTCTGACTTGTTTGCCGTTGTAAACCCTATCATTGAAAGTAACCTTGAATATTTGTCTGAAGTTGCACTGAAATCAACCCACAGATGAGAGCATTTCCATTGCTGGATTCAGATTTAGCTTGTTATGAAATTAGATATATCTTGTTATGAAAACTTGTTATGAAAACATCCGAAACTTCCCGTACTGATGATGTTCCAAATTTCCAGTACTGTCTTCATGAATTCGTATTCTATTGAATTCAATTCCTACTTGTAAATCCATTCTTATATCTGCTGTCACTTAAAAGCATTCTCATTGTCGTAATTTCTCTTTATGCAGTTCTCGATAAACAACCCATTTTGTTCATATCCTCATTCTCTAACAGAGTTGCTTCTTTAATATCCTCAGCTAGTAACAGTAGGTGAACTGTAAACTTCCATTATGAACTGTAAGTTTACATACTATGCTCAACTGTAAGTTTCCATTCAGGAATGATGTTTGTTGTTATTGTTACTGTTACAATTACAACTCTGTTTGCTGAATGTAATTCGAAAATGAACTTTTGAATGTAAGAAGGAAGCGATTTACATCATCTTCGTCAATTTGCTGAAACACTTCAACGATCGTCAACCAAAAATACGCGTTCAGCAAACACCTCATAAACTTCTGAAGTATACCTTGTGATGTTAATTACATATCTGTATTACAGCTGGATGCAGTTTTTTCCTCACCGTTACTGCTAGTGATCAGCTTTTTTGTGATCATTTCGGTTTTATGATCCTACAAAGTCGTTTTACAATTTAAGTAAGAATCAGCTACAGAAATGATTTAATGAGCAAGCGTGAGACAATGCTTCTCAATATGCAATTCAGCTGACAACCGCAAACCATCATAATGACATCAACAATTAAACTGGTGGCTTTATATAGTGCAGAGTCGATTAAAGCAAAGTGAGACGTCATTCAAATGAACGGCAAACAGCAACTCCATGAAGGTTAAGCAGAGCTTAATCAAATAACCACCCACTAACCTTACCACTATGCCAAAGACACACACACAAATTGCTTGACAAGATCGTTATACGCTGTGGAATATATTGTACCGAATCGAGATTGTATTGAAGGACGTTGTGATAGAATGGATAGTGAAAAAAAGTAAAGAAAAAGTCAAATGAGAAGGAAATTCGTCGAATCGATTTCAAGTAGGACGGTGTTGGTTGGATAGCAAAATCATTTAAGTATAGTGCTACTGAACGTTCACATCAGTCGGGCTTCACCCAGCACCTAACCCTAAGTTAACGTTTCCAACTTTCCAAATCTCAAATCGATCCCAGAAAGAATGGCTGCAGAATACGAGAGCGATCCAGGATGGCAATATCTGAGGAGAAGTCGCGAACAAATGATTATGGTAAGTTTATAATTTCTAATGAAATTATTCAAAGCTCAATGGACAAATCGAGCAATAAAGAGGATAGTTCAATGAATTCAATTTCTTATCTATGGTTAATTAAATCATTCACCTTTTTCTTTACTGTTCTAAATCATCAGTATTTCATCAGGTGGAATTGAAGCAGTTTAGGCTTCATGTGAATGTTGTTACCATTACAAGGATTTATTTTTTAGTTTAGAAAGATTTAAAAACCTTATCTGAACAACTTTATGGTATCATTCCAGCGTTTCTGTAAATTTGAGTGTTTTATGAGTCGCTCACTGTGTTAGAGTTGAATGACTTCACATGATGGCAACCCTTTCAGGACCAGTCCATTCCATATGACACCAAAAAGAATTGCTGGGTACCGGATAAAGATGAAGGTTATGTTGCCGGCGAGATCGTCGCTACGAAAGGAGATGTTCTTACTATTATGTGTGGCGGAACTGAGGTTACTGACTTGAAAACTTTTCAAACCGAACGAATCGTTCCTTACATTTCAAGACTGAAGTGCACTTGATTCATCCTTCAGATTTTTGCCTTTGAAGTAGATTTTATAAGATCTATGAATGGAATATATCAAAGCTCAGCTTAATGTACAGACCGCAATTGAATACATTTCGTAAAACAGCAGCATTGATTCAGAATAATAGTTCAGAACAAAGCTCGCGGAAAATAAAGTGCGACTTTTAATTTGCTGAAAATCATGTTTCGTCGCACGTATTCTCTGTCCCATAAAAGGAGAAGATTGTTTTTCTTTCAGAGAACCGTGAAGAAGGATATGATCTATCAAATGAATCCACCAAAGTACGAGAAAACCGAAGACATGTCCAACTTAACAATCCTCAATGACGCTTCCGTACTGCACAATCTACGTGCACGCTATGCAGCAATGCTCATCTATGTTAGTTCTTGTGCAATCCATAATCGGAGTTACTTTAATGCTTGCGATCTTCAAACAAAATATTACCCTGATCCTCACCAATTTCTTGCGTTACTGCATCGCTAGATCCTGTATTTTCAATATCTGATAAGGTATTTCTGTTCTTGAATTGACGTTTGAGTGAACCAAAGCATGGTGATCTGCAAGTAGAAAAAATAACACACTAGCAGAGTGACAGAAAAATAAAATAAAATAGCATATGTATTGTGTACTGAAGATAGGTATAGACGACTGTAAGCTGGGATGAACTAATGCCGCAAAACGACATCAATGACGCATTGAAGTAGTATGGATAAACTTTGTTTAAGACATTTTTCGAGTGAACAGAAGCAGTCATTATAGCATACAATATGAAAAAGTACAATGCAGTTCCCTCGTTTCATTTATTGGTTACATCATCAATGAAAAAATGCTAGATCAATTTGAAGACGAACGAACCTGAGAAACATTTCATCTTCAGGTTACTGAAAGAGTATAAAATGAACGAATTCATCTTTTATAGACATAT